AGAAGCGAGCGCCGGCAATGGAGAGCGTGACTGGTGGTAAGCGTGATAGGAGCGAGCAGTCCACGGCGAACTGGCCGAAGGCAATTGGCGTGGCTCCGAGCGCTCGGTTGAGGGCCTCCACATCGCGAGCCGGGCCGGCAATCAACGAGGTGCCCGTGTCAGCGATGGCCTGGCAGCCCCCGCTGCACAGAGACACGTTCCCGCCCTCGAGTCCGTCCATCTGGAATTGCCAGTAGGTGGCACGCGTCAATGGTACGCGTGTGAACCCGCCCGAGTAGTGCGCCGGGTCAGATCCGCCGAGAATGATCTCGCCGCCCTGCGTCGCGCTCGCGTCGCGGTTCAGGTAGAAGGAGAAGATGGGAGCCACGAGCCCTTGCGCCACCATGTTGTCAAAGACGGGCGTCACTCCGTCTACGGCAATGCTGGAGAATGCCATGCCGAGGATGCCATCGAACTTAGCGGCGACGAAGGCTAGCCCTGGCTCCGACATGGCCTCGGCGAAAGTCTGGCGGCGCACCGTCAGTCCGCCCACTGACACGTCGTCCGTCGATAGGAACCCGGACAACGACCCCGACCCGTACTGAATGGCGAACTCGGTGCCGTTCTTCACGTAGCTCTGCGACTTGCTGCTGTCATACTTGTTGTGGAGCACTGAAATGCGACCTCCAGTTAAGCACTGAGTAAGACACGAAGCGTAAGAAGTGGTCAAACAGTATACGTACAACAGGCGATGTTAGTGTAGTGACACTTTTTAGATGGCACCCAAAGGTTGGAGGAGCCCGTGTCGAAGACGACCTTAAAGGTCTGGGGTGGGTTGCCGATCGAAATAGGTCCATAGTATTGCGCCTGGAAAATATAATGTTTTTTATCTATCTATCTACCCTCTACGATCAACCCCTATTTTTTATTTGTTAGTTAAAAACTTATAACTTGAAATCTGAGGTTTATATAGAGAAAAATCACAGAAAAACCAGTTTCCGGAAAACCGTAGTCTCTGGGTTAACAGCAAAATGTTCCATGTTCGTTTGTACTCAAAGGCTATGCATTAAGGAGAAACGAAGTTCGCGGGGGGCAGCTAGCAGCTTATTATAAAAAAAATGACTTTACCTGCCTAATATTACGAATACAGTCTTAGAAGTTTAATTTCGTCGGAAACTGTTTTGTTTGATGAAAAACAATTAAAAAATTTGACGTTTGTATACGTGTTCATAGGAATTGTACGTAATAGGGACTGCTGTGACGCCATCTGGCAGGATGTTTTATTCGAATTTTTAAAGCCAATACTTAAACAGAAATTTTAAAAATAACAATTTGTATAGGTACTAATAAATAATTAGTATTGGTTTTTTAAAATTTTTAAATAGGCTATTCTAGAAGGAATTTAAACAGCTTAACTGGTTCATAGATTTTTTGTGAAGAAGGGAAGCTTAGGTTTTCTTTCTGTATTTTATATCTAAATTATTTTAATATGGTGGATGGATAGAACATGGAAAAACATAAGCCCACTTTTTCTTCAATAATCTTTGTCAGACTAAATTGTATTGTATTGTATGTCACTTAATTGGATTACTAACTCATATTGTAACTATAGCTGTGAAGCCTTTGATATGTACCTAATTTGTTTGATATTTAAAATAAACTAAATGGTAATTTAAAATACTAATAGAATGTTGTTAATATTAATTACAAAACTGATAAAAATTCAATTGTGATAATTATAGGAATGGTGAAAAGTAATTACATATTTTTCTTCCAAGAAAGTTAAAGTTAGTTTCATAAGGGTTATTGACACCTCAGCATAGAATTGGTCATATGATCCATGAAAAATTTACTTCTACTTATATATTATTGGAACAGGAATTGGAAATTAGTCTTGTACAAATAAATAAACACAAACAAAGCAGGAGCAATGACAACAACAGTGGATAAGACAAAGGTTATCAATTTTTAACCTTAAACATGACAACAAAAGCGATAATAATTATATGATTACAGATATTTGTTTTAAATAACATACAAGCATCTTCTATATCTTTTTTTTCCTACCAACTGATGGGACTGCTATATAAGCCTTCATAGAATACTTACATCCAAGTAGTTAGACAGAGGCTCTGGAGCAGGACCCCGCGCGGCATATTTGACGCGCGTCACATGTAACTCTGTGCCCACCTCATGTAATTGCTTGCGGACTGACTGAATGCGGTACAGTGGCACTCTAATGGAAATCAATTTTTAATTGAATAACCTTTTTCAGTAGAAGTAGTTCAATAAATTTAGATTGTAAGTAAACATTCTCCTAATTTTTTTTATGTCCTAATAGCTAGATTTAAACATTTCTAATACATACATATATACAACCAATACTTTTAGCCAATAAGTATCAAATATTTTTACGAAGAAAAAAGCAAAAAACTACATACAGTAAAACATTACGATACCTTTGAAAATCAGCCAAGCAAGTTGCTATAACAGCTAAAACGGCAATCCAAGTCCTAATCATCTTAAAAGTCACAGCTAATCTGAAAAATATTAAATTAAAACTATAATTCACAATTTGAGTCTCGGTGCAAAAACTAGGGGTCGGACTTACAAGCTAGCCGCAAGAATTTGGGGATGATTAATATTGGATTATGTTGGGGTTGGTTTACCCTTTTAAATGACACCCCCCTTACCCCGCGGAGACGCTTAGTTTTTTTTAAAAATGCATTTTAAAGTGCGTATAAAGGAACGTGATTTTTTGTATAACATATTTATTGTAGCGAAATATTGTTGTAAAATCAATTCGTATTTTATCAAAATACAATATTTTTAATGTTATATAATGTTATGTTGTTTATAGTATTTATTTATAATTACGAATTTTTAGTAATATTTATTTAAAACGGAACGAAACGTCACATTTCACGAAACGTCATATAGCGAGCGTCTTGTTATGCGTTTGATGCGCCATTCCGTTGCTATCCTGCGTACGCGAGTTTTGTAATCCCGAGTTTTGATATTTTTTAACGACTTTTACTTGTTTCTGGAACCTTAACCTCTGGTTTTATTTATGTATCTTCATAATATCACCAAATTTCATTCTTATTTCTAGAATACACTAGTTAGTGAGATTGTCCAAGATCATAACTTGTAGTCGATCATACCCAAAACCGAATCAGAGCACCCCACTATCCACGTGGTCTTTTCTGCCCTACCCCTAGAGTGTATATAAAAAATCGGAGGCGCGGAGGAAGAGCAGCCCCCACCCGCTGTAACAAAGCACAGGCATTTTGCAAGCCGTAGCGGCTAAGGCTGGTCGCCGAAGGCCGAAGCTGCGGATGCTTGAATAAATTGCCTGTGCTTTGGTACGCAAGGGTGGAGGGGCTGCATTTCCCGTAGCGCCGGAGCTGTCCAAAAAACCAATTATTATTTAGATCGGTTAGGTTAGGTTAGTATATGAATATTTGGTCGCCGAAGGCGACCAAGACGCCGAGTTGCCGAGGCTTGAATAAACAATTATTATTTAGGTCGGAGCTGTCCAAAAAAACAAATATTATTTAGATCGGTTAGGTTAGGTTAGTATATGAATATTTGGTCGCCGAAGGCGACCAAGACGCCGAGTTGCCGAGGCTTGAATAAACAATTATTATTTAGGTCGGAGCTGTCCAAAAAAACAAATATTATTTAGATCGGTTAGGTTAGGTTAGTATATGAATAACGCCGAGGTTGCGCAGGCTTGAATAAAATGCCTGTTGTTAATTGTGTATTAATATTTTTTTTTACGCTGGGGCGGAGGGAGTTGACTCCTGCAGCGCCGGAAATGTCACAGAGCTAGACCCCCTCCCACAGACCATTGTAAATAACTAAATAGCGCTATTCTAACCTCAAAACTTTAACCATGAATATCTCCATAACCATGGGGTTCCGCATGTTGGGGATGGTACAGGGGGGTAGCAGTAGACCACCCCCCTCTCCCCCACCCCCAAAACCCCAAAAATCCGGCGGCTAGCTTGTAAATTTTTCCCAAAACTAGAAAATGTGACTAGGAAAAAACAATAATAAACTTTCTACTCATTGCGATGCAAATTGCAAATAGCTGTAGAGTAGACACTAGACGATCGGTCTGACAAAGAGCGAATCGTTAATGAGTACTAACTACTACGACAAAAAAACAAAGACGAGTAATAAATAATTGTTCCAATGTTTGATTATCTAATAGCGGTTGTTAGGTAAGTACTAAGTAGTGTAATTGTAATTGCTATTTGCTAATAAATAATAAAAATTATGTACCTACCGGTTTCAAGCGAAATTCACAAATAATAATACACCGTAATGACTTTAGACTTATGACATTGGCACATGACGTCTCATGATGACTTGACAATAAATTTTACTATCACACCACAGATTGTAAGTACAGTTCTTTATAATGTAGTGATGACTCAGGTAAGCTAGAGGTTGAGGTTCAGACTAAGTGCTATAACTCCCGTATTTTCATAATATATTTGACGTACGAGAGATTAATTATATTTCTAAATCACAATACTGAAAAAGAAAGAAGTATGGTCTAGCCGAGGTCTGACATCGATGTCCGTTGTTTCACTATTATGCATTTTTTTAAGTTTAATATTAAACACCGCAATACTTAGGATTCTTCAATAAATTGTTTTATGAATTAATAAAAAGCCGGCTAAAACTAACTTGTTTCTTTTGATCCCATATACGATAGTATATCAGATGCTCAGTATCTTTAGAAAAATATTTTGTACATAAAATGCAACTAAGACTCAACTCACATTGGCGCAGAGTCGAAGCGATGCGACGCGTTTGTAACTGTCAATGGCTATGCTGATAACTGATAAGCGACAATTAGGAAATGCAATCCCCATCCCGCAAGATCTCGTGCCAAGTGTTGAGGTTTGTAAGCAGCAGCAAATAAACACGACTCTTCAATAGTAATTAGAAGGGACTGTGAGAGCGGCTACAAGTCCTTCGAGTGTTTCTGTGAAATTAGAGCCACGCATCAAAAAGAGAGTTCTATAAGTGTGGGGGAGCAAGAGGCAGCTGTCTACGGTTCGTTTATAATAACTTACTCACGCTGGTGTCTACCAGACTGGGAGGACATTTTCAGCTGCTGGGTACCTAGGATAGGTATATCTACTTATCTAGAAGTAATATTGGAAATAACTCTTTATTCAGCACTGCGAAGGCATGTATTAAAATAACTAATGATTATGTTTCGTGATTTGTTATAAATATTAGTAAATAATAGGAATAGTAATAAGTTAAAGGTCATAAATATTTTTCTTCAATATAACCATGAACTTTCTTAAAACAATCTAGTTGAGATGCAGCGGAGTTTAGGTACCTAAAGTCAATAGCATTTTTTCGTACCATGACCGCCTATAAGCTGAAACGTATTAGCATTTAGCATCGCAAGACCGGATGAAAGAACGATAATTTTGTTTGTGGTTTCTATATGTAAGTTTAGAAATTTAACTGTCAAACTTACTTCGACAGAGGTTTCTATAAAAATAAATAAAATATAAAATTATTTTAAATAATTCATCATTTTCAATAAGCTATTATGTCTTAATATATATATTTATTTAATGTAAAACTATTCTTTTGATATATTTTAAACATAAAGTTTTCTGGTACTATGATAGTGACCCTTATTATTTCTAAACGTTTCCGTCAAATTTTGATAGGAGCTTTCAATATTTTGGTGTTTACAAAATTTCGGTTTTATAAATTGTTTAACTTATAAAATAATAGAATGGGGTAAGTATTGTTCACAAATTTGTTAATTAAAATTAAAAACCTATATCGAAGTGAATTACTGATACGTATATATATACGAATTATATCATATAAAACCCTTTGCAAAAGATATTACAAATCAACTTATTACTCTAAAATCATAAGTAACTATAATAAAAATTTATTCCTTCAAATTGTACAAATTCAATTTATACGTTAACTAATGCATATAATATAAATAATTTTATTTTCTTTGCAGAAACCTCTTCATCTCCCAATACGGCTGGTCACCGCGGGGGATAATGAGTACAACCCTCCATCTCGACTACAAAACCTCGACATATGCACTTACAATGCAAAATCTTTTCTATCAAATGAAAGATTATTATTATAACGAACCACCAAACTATTCCAATAAAGGTTAATAACAGTACATTACAATATGTTTACCTGGGTCAACAAGTATCTTTCTCAAAGACAAGACACGAAGATGAGGTTAAAAGACGAGTCAACATAACCTGGAATAAATCCTGGAGCAATAAAGAAACCCTTAAATCAGAATTTTAAAACTAAGAAAAATATAATGGACTCATATTTAATACCTCATCTTACATATGGCTTCCAGGCATGGATTTACAATAACTACACCAAAAACAAAATACAAGTGTGCCAGAGAACGATGGAAAGGAGTCTACTAAACATACAAAGACAACATCGGAAGAGAAATAAGGAAAATATCAAAAATAATAGACGCTTTAGACAAAAATGTAATTGGGTGGGTCTTACTGCTCGCATAGACAAGGAAAATGGACACCAAGGGTAACCTGGCAAGAACCAACAAAAAGATTAAGAGGTAGACCAAAGTAAAACTGGATTGATGAAATAAAAAGAAAAGCTGGTAAAAACTGGACCACCAAAGCAAAAGACAGACAGATTTGGAGCAAAATGGAGGAGGTCTTTACCTGTAGAGGGATTCATAATGATTTAATGATACTTTATAATGATTTATAAAAATTAATTTTGTTTTTGATTCTTATTAATTTATTTATCATTTCAAACTTATATACATTGAAATTATTAATTATGATTGGAATATAATTTAAAAGTTATAAATAATAATATTGTATTTTTTAATGCATGCACATATTATGTAATAATTAATCATATGATATACTTGTTTAATATGTTATTCATTATGGAAATAAAGAGGCTATAATAATAATAATAATAATTTTCTTTACAGCTTAACCTGACAAAATCGCTAAATTGAGAGACTATATGAATAAATGTTTATATCCAATTGAACATTGCCTGAAGACATCTTTTTCTATCTTGATGGAGTCATCCTAACTAAATAAATACTGTTATTATAATATTTTTAAATGGCTTATTATTTACACAATATAAAGTTACAAATACCTATGTTTTTTTAAACAACAAAAAGCAGAGGAGAATAATACAATTCATGAACATAGTGAGGAAAAATTTAATTATAATAAAATATATCTGCTAGTAATATGGCATTCTTATTTATTGTAAACGATGATATTATATTGGGGGATTATGTTTTTGTTAGACATGCATAAATAATTAATTAAATATTATTGAACAATGTGCAATTATTTGTAGGTCCACTGAAATCTTCAATGAATCAAAGTCAATAATCTATAGTAAATTATAAACACAATATCTACGAAGTCGGTAGTCGGAAGGGCATTACCGTCTTGTTTCTCATCTCCGTCTATATTTTAATAATTT